CGCAAAGCATGTTGTGGGTATTCCACTTAAACATGGCACCAGTGACCTAAAAGTATATTTTATGGCCAAATTTCTATGTCTTAGACAAGTAGCAGGGTGGAGTTTTGGGGGATTTTTTTTTTTTTTTAAGAAGAGTGAACTTCCTATAGGCATGACTAAGTAGTGATTAAGTAGAGGACAAAGTATTAAAATGACCTACTTTAAAAAAAAAAACCCTCATACCTTTTTATCTGTCTGTCATCTTCTTGGCCGCCTGTTCTCCCTTCTTTTCCTCTTCTCTCTCACATCCAAAACCTGAACAAACTGGTTTTGTTTGTTCTCTGTAGTGTTATGTGAGACCAGTGTTATCTGCTTTGCTGCTTTCTTGGTAATGAACGTAGGTACTCTGAGATACTAACTCTGCTCCTTGGAAGAGAAAATGCATCATCTGCCATGGATGGGTCTTGATGACCCATGTAGTCCATTCAGACTGGTTTTATCTTTGGTTTTATCCTTGGTTTTATCTTTCTGCTCTCAAAAACAGGCCAAAGGGAAAGGTACTGGAAGGTGAAAGAATACGACTGAAAAAACTACACCCTCTTTATCTCCTTCAGAAGTGGAGAAAACAAACTTTTGGAAGCTTTTTGAATAGTCTTCATATGCCATGAGTTATTGACTCTTACAGCGTATCTTTGTGTAGATTAGAAATGTAATCAAATGGCAGTTTTATTTTGTTTCATTTTTTCTCTCATGTAGTGTCATATTTTTAATTGCCTAGCACTTAGATTGCGATAACCAAACTGTGTCTGTGTTTTCACTTTTGGAAAATCACAGCACATCAGCTTTAAGACTTTTCTGGGTATGGTGTGATGGAGAGAACCATTTGTCCAATATGTGCTTTAATGTTTACGGATCTTCAAAATAAGCAGTTAAATTTTAATTTTACAGATAGAAACTTGGAAGAAAGTAGAAGTAGTGAAGAACCACATTTCCTGTGTACATTGCATGTTGACATTATATTTCAGAAGAGTGTTTTGTAATGTTGGAATAGAAAATGGTAACAAATGCATGTGCCTGTTAATTACTTCTGTTGTTTGGTTTTTCAACAGGGTCTGTGTTTTAATGGAAGCGCCTTTGTTTTGTACCTCATTGCCGCCATTGTAGATGCATCTTCAGTTACCAAAGAACTGGACAGTCACAATTACAACAGCTGGGCAGCTTCTTCAGTGAGTTCCTTTTTTGTTTAAGTCAGTTCTATGTCCAATAAAGTTATATCAAAACAAGGCTTGCCGGAAGCGCGGGTTGAAATGCATGTGTTCAGGATTTTGAAAAACTGCAGACTGATACAGAAGCTCACACATGAAACCTATAGGTAGCTGTAATTTAATTCATAGTGTTTGGAGGTGGCTAGAAATTCCACCAGGAGATGACAGTCATGTCAGAAAAGGCAGCGATATTTTTAAGATCGTGCTGCTTCTCCCCTCCCCCCATTTATTACTAGCTCTCTGACAGAGGTTATAGCCTGCAGATCAGAGTGGACAAAACAGTTTGTGTGAGCACTGAGTCACCTCAATGCACTTGGACAACAAAAGCAGTTTAAACGAACTCAGCTAGCTTTGCACGCGTGTGGATATGATGCATTGAGCTTTTTGGGGAAGGTCCTGAAGTGGTACTGCTGTTTTTACAGTGATCTTCCTGTTACAGCCTCAGCTTTTGATAGTCTGTCTTCTGAGTTGGGTGAAACGTCACGTAACTTGCCAGTGTTTTAAAGTGGATGCAAATAATTAATTAGCCTGACATTACTCTCTTACTACGTAGATTTGGAAATCCAAAACAACTTTTTTTTTTTTAAAGAGCCTTGTTACTTTCCAAGTAGGTGAACACATTTTCTAGCTAAGTTAAGGGAGTCGTAAAAGAACTTTTTGCATGTTGTGGCAACAGTAGTCAAATTCAATTGTAGACAGTAATTCCAAATTACAGCTACTTTGCTGACTGGTCATGCTTCTGCAGTTGTCCTCTCTGGACTATTCACAAATCCTGTCTTCTGTCTGAAGCTTATTGTATACAGCCATGAACACAGAGACTTGGAACACCTGCTCTGTTTTTGTCTTGGGAATTGGATAACTACGTCCCTGTCATTTCAGGGGTCTTCAGGGTCTTCTCCCCTTGGCAGTTCGTAACTATTGGTCTGTTACTCAGCCACTGCTGTTGATAGGAACTTGCCTGCTGCTAGATAAGCTTCCGTGCTGATTCAGGTTTTATGCAAAATGCATGAATGCTCATTGTCTCATGGGATGTTTGGAATCTCTTCTAATACCTCCTAATAGTGTTTATCTAATGCACTGTCTAAATAAACTATTACATGTAGATTCTTGCTTTCTGAACCCATTAAGGGTTTCATGGACAGATGTTTGTGAGAATTTAGCAAATCATCTATCCCCAACAGTTGTTCTCTGTTAGAAAGATTTTAGATGGAGCTTTTATTTCCTAAGAATCAAAATTATTGGAAAAGAAGAATGCTGTAGTTTTCTATTATAATAATATTTTACATCATCACCTACAGTTTTTGGTGCCACAGATTAAGTTTACATTAGACAAGACTTGCCAAGAATGCTTTGTTGGAGGGCTTAGATTTACTGCCCGTATGCACGCTCTCGGAGCTGCAGTGCCTACCCAGGCCGATGATAGTATATAAGCAAGAAACATTGGTAGAATCATAAAATATTTTGAGGCTGGAAGGGACTTTTGGAGATCATCTGGTCCAACTCTCTCCTCCTTAAAGCAGGGCTAACTCCTCTCAGGCTACCAGGGCTTTGTCCACTTGAGTTTTGAGTATTTCCAAGGATGGCTATTTCACAATGCCTCTGGGCCTCTGTTGCCATGTTTCATTACTCTCTCAGTGATTTATTTTATTTTTTTTCCTAATATCTAATTGAAATTTCCCTTCTTGTAACTTGCATTTGTTCCCTCTTGTCCTATCATTACTCACCTCTAAGAAAAGTAGTGTTAATCCTATTTGCAGTGTCAGCTTTATTTGGTTCAGTTACCAGCACAAAACATTCTGGTCTTATCGTAAGACCGTTTTGAACATTGTCTATTTTGAACAACATGCAGTGATTGATAGGAACTTAACCACTGGCACTGAATTGGACTTTATCAGTACAACGGAAATAGTTCACAGCTGTTCTTTGGTTTCTCTGTGCATACGCTGCAAGGACTGCAGAAGCAACACCACTGATACTGTGTAGTTTTAATCTTTAAATATAAAATAAATCTAGCCTGCTACCAAAGGCTTTATTCTGTAATCAATTTCTGCCAAAGCAGTAATATCTCAGCGTGGTTGCCGTCACTTACTTGCACTGAGGAATACCTTTAGTCATCAGTAGAGGAATTGATGACCGGATCGGTACTGCTGTTTGAGAACATGCCTGGGCCTGCATTTGAATCCAAGTTTTCTCCGTGAGCAGACCTAATTTGATGCTCAGCATGCCATACCGAGGTACAGGTGGGCTGTAGGCAATTCCTGGAACATAGCAGCAGTGCGGGAGTGTTAGCTTGAGCTCACACTGGACTGTCCCTCAGTCTTTACCAGCAGTTGATGTTAAAAGCAGCAGGTATAGGATTGGTGGGAGTCCCATCTATAGGATCCGTACTGAGGCAGTATAATGTGGAGATATGAGTTGAAATACGCCATGTTTTGTCTGCTTCTAGGCCTTTACTTCTACGTGTAATATAAGCTTACTTACACAGTGTTGACTGTGGTGGCCACGCAAGTACAAGGAGGTGAAAGAGTGCCATTTTAGTCAGCCTGCTATTCACTTTTTTTCCAAATCCCATAACTATTTATTTTTTTTCATAGAAATGACAGTGCTATGAAATACGTTTTCTTTTTTTCCTAATATATTTTTTCCCCTTCTCTCTACAGTTCTTTGCCTTCGTGGTTACCTCCTGCTATGCTGGAAATACCTATTTTAGCTTTATATCTTGGCGATCACGAACTTTGCAGTAAATATTTTGTTAAAATGAAATCTGTAGTATAAAATATCTTGAGGATTACGCGCTTTTGACGAAAGCTTGGAAGAGGGATGAGGTCTTTTTGAACATTTCTGTTAGAATCAACACAATATATTTTAAACTGAGATTAAATGATTATTTATAATACAGTACCATCTTTAGAGACATCTAACACCGACTTTGTACTGTATAATAAAATTTCATACTGCTTTTTTTAAAATTAACGTGGTATTTTTCTAGACATTGTGTAGATGTTGTTACTAAACCTTTAATAAACGTTACTCAGACAATGTGCCAATTTTGTAAATGTAACTTTGTAAATGTTACGGATATACTTTTGATACTGAGTGCTACAAATCAAAACTAAGATTGATACTGTCTTGTTATTATGTATAAAAAGTGACATTGTGCAGGAAAAAAACCCACCCAAAACTTTAAAAATAAATAAATAATTGACCCAACTGTGCATGTTTTGTAAACTGAGAGTAGAAGGTTGCTTTTTTAGTTTCTTTTTCAGAGTAAAATGTATACTACTAAGAATTCTGATGATCCTGTCCGGTTGGCATATTCTAACAGCTTCTCACAATCAAGAGATTGCTTTTGGAACCTGTTGCTGTAGTCTGAAGCTCATTGAAGGGATTTTGTGCCTGAAACACCTTATCTGAACAGGTTTCTCAAATCCAGCAGGCTCCAAGGCATAAGTCTAGACAACAGTCCCTTAGTGCTCAGTGTTTAACCTACTGAGAATATCACCAAACACCTACTAAAGATAATACCTTTTGTTTCTCAGAGGACTGTGTTTTTCTCTTTTCTCCTCAGATGAGGCCATTAACCTGTCCTAATTAAAATCTGGGCTTCTAAATCCTATTAAATGATATAAAGAATAAATCCGTAGAAAAATTGTTAAGATGCCAATGCTAGAAAAAAAGAACTTCCTCCCTCCTTCCCTGTCTGCCGGCATCATCTGTGAGTTGTTGGTTTAACAAATGAAGTTTTTAATTTTACGCTCATATTTAAATATCTTTGAGTCAAGCAGAAGTATGACAGAAGATTATGACTTTCAAAACAGATACCTTTGAAAATGACTTTGAAATACATATTACCTAAGGAATTTTTTCCAGGAATTATGTGGAGAGTATAAGGTGGTGATTATTTTGTGATATTATTGAAAGTTTTCCTCATTTAAAACTACTGGTAAGTCTTTTATTCCTGAATTAAGAAGATTTGAACTCTCTTCCAGTCTTCAAAAATTTAGTTGGATGATTATATATGGTAGTAGAGAAATCTTACTGCTTAAAAAAACTTCTTTCTTTCTCCCTGTAACTAAATGCTGTGTGCTTACTTAACGCGTGTGCCCTGCAGCAGAGAAGATTTATCAGCAGCCAGCTAATTCTGTTCTTGATCACATTGGTTTGTTCTTGATTATCTGTCAGAGTCACAGGATTTCAGTGTAAGGGAAGCCAAGGTATTATTTAAAAACCTATACTTGTCTGCAAATTGCATCTGGCCTGCACAACAAAGGTCAGGCTGTCTGCTGCTTGCTAAAATTATCCAGTTGTAAGAAGGAAGAAAGGCTACCAGCTATGCATTTTATCTACACAGATAAAATGTGTCATTAAAATCCCATGTGCTCTTTTCCATTGCCCGGAAAAAAAAATATCAAAGGCATAAAAATGATCCAAATGTCAACAGATAAAATGTGACTAGAAATATAGCCAGAATTAAAATCTCATCAGGGATTTCTCATCAGTAAAAATGCTTTAGTAGTAATAGAAATTCTTTCTTAGATGATATTTGATGTTCCTATTTTAAGTCCAAAGAACGTAACCAAGTTTGTGCAAATGTTTCATGATTTTGTGGTAACTGTGATGATCTGGTCTAAAGTCATAACCCAGGCAACACTTGTGGATAGAGGTGCTAAGAGGGAGCAGTATGTTTCATCCAGTTTACCAAAAACTGTTATGGAAACTGTGTGTTGCCTGTCAGAATAAACCCGTTAATGAAGGACAAAGGCATGCTGTTACGAGATAAGGAATGATTCTGGCAAAACATCTACCACCTCTGCGAGTCTTCTGCGACGATGCTCAAGGGAAGATGTGAGGAATGGCTTCTAAAGGCAAATGTGTGAGTTGAATCTTTAATTCTGAATTTAAAAAACATATGTACTAGGCAGAATTGTGCTTTATGCTTGGCCTTGCTTTTTTTCCACAAACCATAACTCACCTGCCTTGTTCTTTCCTTTTAGAAAGATAATTATCTTACTTCCCATGCTCTTTCTTATCTGTTTCCTTTCTCATCTGTTGCCCCGGTACCAACTGTCTGTTTTTCAAGTGTTCTGAATATCTAGCTAAAATTGGAGGAATGGTACAAGCTGAGAATTACTTTTGAAGTTTGCTCCTCCTATTTCAGGCCTGAACAAAGACATAAGCACCCAAAAGGTTATCTGTTTCTTCCAGCGCGTTAGTCTTAAATACTGATTTGCAAACTTATGACTTACACCTTTGTATATTCTAATATTGATAAAGAAGAAAAGCTAGCTGTGGTTTATCACATAACAATTAAACAAAGATTTGTGGCTGCAGGCATTGCTTAGTGTTTGTAAGATTAGAAAGAAACCTTATTTAAAAGAACAACTGGTAAGTGATGAAATCGTTAGTGAAATTCTTAATACAGATATTTAGAAGAATAAACAAAATGCTAATCAACTTGCCAAATGAGGGTATTTGACATTATAAATAACTTGTTTCAGACAAACAGTCTCTTTGGAAAAACTCTAAGTCACCCACATATATAAGGATACTTCATGTCAACTTATGGCCATCAAATTTCATTTATTAAGGAGTTGTCAGTACCTTTTACCATCATCATACATGATGCATTTAACAAGATTAAGTAAATAGCATGAGAACTGTAATAAAAACTTCAAATTCAGCAGTGTTTTAGACTGACTTTGTGCCAGTAGTTTACAGAAAATGCCTGTATTTCTGAGTAGAAAGTATGACTTACTCTGTTTGTATTAATTTAAAGGTATTTCTGTTTCACTGGGCTGAACTCAGATCAGCAGGGCCCCAGTCATATACACACTTTCAAAGGAAGTTAGGAACTGAAGAATCTGAATCAGCTGGTAAGAAAAATGTATTTCTTAATAGGAAGTACAGAAATTACTAGAACCTTCCTGCACAGGGCTTGCAAGAAACATATAAATGTGTGCACTTCTGAACTTGAACTGTAAAGAGAAGAGGAAAAAGAAGTACTAGCTGTTTAAAAAACAAAAACTCTTTCTCAGCAGCTAGCATTTTACTCTTATGGAGATTATCAATGTAGTAGCTTTGATATCTAATGACGTGTGATAAAATTTGGTGGGACAGGTACTGTCTTCTATTGCAACTACTAAGCTGGCTTAATAGAAGCCCCAAAACCACGTACTGCTTAGTCTGTTACAGACCATTGCCTGCACTGGCGAACCCCGTAAATGTAAATTGTATATGTTAAGTGACTTATGCTAGCTCCTTATTTGTGTTGGGGATCATCTAAACTTACCTGTCTTCCCTCCTAAAACAATTTTAGTTGCTGACAGAGCTATTAAATACTAACTATGAACGGAATGTGCGTTGTGACAGCAGAACAGAGCAGCAGCAGATGAGGTTACTACTCTAAAGAGTATAAAACCGACATACACCCAGCTCAGAGGCCCGCTATTACCTCACTTGTCAGAAAGCAAAACAAGTTATTTTTAAACTTGAGGAAATATATAGCTTCCTTTGCCGAGTTTTGTTCGTATCTCTGCATGATTTAATTCTAACAGTGGGGCTGAGACATTTGGACAGTCATTACGGCTTTGCCTGTTGCTGCCTGTTTAATGCGTCTATTTTCTCTTTTACGAGATCGTGAATGGGAAGGTTTGGTTGGGGGGTTTTTTGGTGAGAATAAAAATGTTGCGTGGGAGGATGGTGTTTGCAGCTGTACCTCCTCCAAGAACATCACCGACCAACTTTTGACAGGCCGAGGGCTCTTTCCCCGGCTTCTCACCGCTGTGGCGGCCGGCGGACAGCGAGGCATCCCCTCTCCCTGCTTGGAAATATTGTATTTTCACGTAACCCAGCT